GAGATCGGATTTCGGGAAAAACAGTTTTTTAAAACTCTCAAAAAGTAACCAAAACCTTTGTTAATGAGGCAAGATTGTAGCCCGCAGATTTCTGATTAAAATGAGACATCTCCGAGCTCTACACGACTTTTGTTTGCAAAGTTATAGAGTTTGCAAGAAAAGTCCTAAATGTTCATTGTCAGCTCAAAGCTGCAGAAATAAGAAATTAATTTAGGGCTTTTCTCGTAAATTCTACAACTTTGCAAAGAAAGGTCGTGTAGAGGTGGGAGATGTCTCATTTTAATCAGAAATCTGCGGGCTACAATCTTGCTTCATTAACAAAGGTTTTGGTTACCTTTTGGAAGTTTTGAAAAATTGTTTTCCCGAAATCCGATCTCTCCACACCTATCGGCCAAAATAATTGTTATATTCGGAATCAGCACCCTTGATTACCTCTGATCCACTAGGTTTTAGCCCGAAAGCGATTTGCAGCCTGGAGAGGTTCCCTCGTGAGCAGTGACCTTTTAGGTTTACACACTCAGATCAATAATATAGTCTAGCTGTCTAAACCACCTGTGGTGGACGTGCCTCAAGTTGATCAATTCGTTGTTCAACTCTAACAGGCGACAACGTTTTTATCGTATTCAGTTTGGCTGGAAGTAACAGCACATATACTTTCGAAGACGGTGATCATGAATTTGAAATCATTTTTTCGTTTGATACAGCAGTTCGCAAGAAAAATGGAAGACAAGAAATCTTTTTAACACACTGAGCTTTCTACACACTGACATTGACTGTTTAACAGAAGTACACACTTTTCGATGCCGAGTGGCGTTTAGGCCACGTTACACACCTAGTAACACACTTTATTTAGGATTTCTTTATTCTTTATTTAGGAACTTCGAGTTCTCTCATAGTCTCGAAATATTCAGTTAGAAAAACCTGAAAACCCTGAAATTCACAACTTATTGCCGAGAAAAAATCGCGTTTGGGATAATTTTTCCAGGCGACTATGGGCTTTTACATACTTTTAGTAGCCCTACGGAACGCATATAGTCAAACCTTCACGACTTTCAGTCGTGTATAAAACGGGCGGACCTGGCAGAAATTACCCAATTGTATTTCAAGAAAAAGTATTTTTCTGACGTTACAACGAAAAAAGATTAATTTCAGATTTCTTCACAGAGTAAATAAGCAAAATTATTGATATAAATTGCAGAATATTACGTTTTTAATCATTCCAGTTCAGTAGATGCTTTGCAAATACCTAACAGAATATACACAGATGAAATGACTGGCAAAATGGAAATCAAGTCAGTGTCAAACAAATTTAACACAACGATAGTATATAGTACCATTCGAGGGAATATCATTTGGGTCATTAAATGTCCAAGTATCACCATTTGCTTGAAAGTCATATCTATAATCATATTTTGAATTTAAAAATTTACTTTCATTTCCAGATGTTGGAACAACCTTGTAGTCATCGTATCGTAATAGAACATATTTTTGGTTTGGTCTAAGATTCGATACAACAACTGTGCCTTGCAGTAATTTCGTCTTCGCCCCTCGTGATATATTAGGTTCATCCCATGAATTAACACTTAATCGAACCGGTAACGTTGAATGATCATTATCTATTATGCCTGTGACTGCTAAACCATATGCTACATCTTTAGGTATGCATCCTCCCTCATATAAATCTTTCTTACATGACTTTCTCGTACTCCCCATTGCATCCAAACGTCGCTGAATTACTCTATTGTCAAATAAATTATGAAAATAAAGAACATCGTTACCATCGTATGCATCCTTAGTCTGATATTCAATTCCAATTACGGGCATAATATGATCATAATCCTTATCGTCGTCATCATCTTTTAGATAAACAGTTGTTATACATGGATGCTTTTTAATTAAATTTTGTTTTAACCATACACAATATTGTTTATAATGGGGTTGTTTTTCTTTGTTATAATTCCATTCATTATAAGTAAATAATAAAGTTTTTAACGTTCGTTTATCAGTACCAAAACCAATGAGTACTTCCCCACCAAATATTTGACGTACGATATGTTGTGATACCCATGAACCATAATAAAGTCCTACAAATATACATACTTGTGAGTATGTGTAGAATACTATTGTATATAGAACGACAGTTTAGTCAACAAGGATTATCAGAAAGGTGATGACTCTTTCATGTACATTCTTTTCTCTTGTGACTGGAATTTCAAGAAATGCAAAAATAAGTGGCAGTTTGTTCGATAGACAATCGATGATTTTGATGTCGTAAATACATTAGAAGCAAAAAAAATTAAACTAGTTTTACTTTATACATACAGCAGCTTTTATTTATTTCGTCTAAATCTAAAAGTGTCATAGCTGAATGTGAGAATGTACTTTTCGAAAATTGATAAAAGAAAGTGATGAACGTGGAAAAAGTCTTCAAAACTTCGCTGAGTTTTAGGTTCATTCAATCAATTAGTATAGTGCATGTACTCAAAAATTCCTTCAAAACATGGTGATGATGATTAATTCATCCTCACGCATCTCAGATCTGCCGTAGCCGATAGTAACCATTCCCAAGTGTATGTATTAGTTATCTGATGTGTCGGCTGACTTTTGCAATTTTGGTAAGAAGTAATGTACATCATTCTACAATCGCACAACAAATCTTTGTAAAGAAAGATAAGATTTTATCATTTTCTGATAATAAAACAAGAAACTAACCGATTGCCTGTATCGATGTTTCACCGCAATATCCATGTCCATTTTTCCACTGTTTCCTGGGTGGTATGTCGAGCACTACTTTGATTGTACGCGATGTATCTGTACCACAATGAAACAAATAAATATAAGTTATAAAGAGCCATTCTCAATTCCTGCCAACACAAGAACCGAGTTTATAGCTGTACTCAGACGTTCAGTAACATTTTCAAAAATCAACAGACAGCATTTTGCTACACGAAAAGTATTTTAGAAATTTTTAGCAGTAAGAGAATACGTTTAATAATTTATTGAGCCTTCACATCACAATCGCATGCAAAGCATTTGTCAGACCTGTAGCAACCCGATGTCTGTGTATCTGTTATAAGACAAACAGAATACGAATGTGCAACCCACTGCTGGTTTCAAAGTAGAGTACACTCTCAAATAATACGACTAATAAACGATCAGATGATGCGGGTTTTGTCATTATACAGAGGATAGTTATTACAGCTGATGTATGAAACGGTCAAGTTGAAAATCCTGCAAGAAGAGAGAAACGCTCAATGATCCCGAAACGAGTGAATTGCTTGTGATTAGAAACAGTATTCGTATCATTCAAGATCTTCTAATTTGTCTTTTACCTGCAGCAGCTCTGTAGAGAATTGCTAAAAATCTAAAGGATAAAATAGCAACTGTGTTTACTTTTCTAACCCTGTCAGCATACAACTAAATAAAGTCAAATATTTTCTGAGTTGTAGATACTCTGATCAGACCCTGAACGAAATTCGGATGCTTTCTTCTAATCAAGCACTCTCACGTGGTGTAGTCCTATCAAGGTCCATTGATGATGAGATGTCGAATTTCCATGAATGACGTCTGGCGTAGTTTTGAATCATGGGTGATTTTAATTATTTGGTTGGAGATCAATGAGAGTTTCTCTCTTCTTGCAGGATTTTTAACTTGATCGTTTCATACATCAACTGTCACAGCTATCCTTTGTATAATGGCAAAACCTGCATCGTCTGATTATTCATTAGTCGAACTATTTAAGAAAATGCATTCTACTCTGAAAATACAAACTTCCACTCTCTTAGAAATAAAGGTACCCTATCGAATCTAAAAAAGGCTTAAACTTTTGTCACCATGTATATATCTTTTTAAGATTTCATACAGCTGGCGGTTGCATGAAGGGCTTACAATTTATTAAGAAAATAATAAATTGCGCCGTTTCTAGAATAAATGGCTTACCCACACTTTTTTCCGAATAAATGGCTATACAGTTCCCTATCCAGGAGGGTCGTCTAGCAATGGCTTAGTCATCTATTAATCTCTAGCATAAATGACTCTTCTATCTTCATAAATGGCTTCTATAACACAAAGAAAAATGTGTCCTACGAGAGACTCTCAGAAGTCGGCCAGAGGTTCTCCCTCGTCTGTCACGACAGCAGTAGCAGTTGCACCTAAAAGGCTTCGTATAGATTTTGACTTGTTATTTGCTTCAACTTACTACAAGGTTCGTCATCCATAGCAATACGAATATTCGATTCAATATCAACCAGTAGCTTCTCGAATCGTTCTTGGGTTGCCGGCGACAAAGGAGTCCCATTAACTACTTCTTGGGCAGTACGCTCCAAACTTAATTTACTGTCAAATGCCATTTGGCTATCTGTTTCCATCTAATATATCTTATATCTAGAAAAGGAACTCCAGTGCTAAGCTTTTCTCGTTGCACATACAGCCATTTATCCTAGAGATTCTCTCCTAGGACACATTTTTTCTTTGCACGATAGGAGCCATTTATTTTAGGAAGTAATAAATGGCTTAGCCATTTATGCTAGGAAAAACGATCATTTATTCTAGAAAATAGCCATTTATGCTAGAAATTCCCAGCTACGAGACATTTTTTCTTTGCACGATATGGAGCCATTTATTCGTAAAAAAGTGTGGGTAAGCCATTTATTCTAGAAACGGCGCAATTTATTTATCTAGTAATAAATTGTAACTGCTGGTTGCATGGCACCCTAAATCGGTCACTGGGAAAAACTTGCATGGGTAGTGTTCCCTCAGTCGAACAAAGTTTTTCCCAGTCACGGATTTAGGGTGCCAAGCAACCGCCAGCTGTACGAAACCTTAAAAAGGTATATAGATGGTGACAAAAGTTTAAACATTTTTTAAATTCGCTAGAGTACCTTTATTTTTAAGAAAGCATTTGATGTGAGCTTTGCAATGTTTTTCGTATGTCTCTGATCCGCGCTCTGAAGGATATCGAATACAATAGCTGTGCCTTTTGGTAATTTCGTACAGTGCTGCTTACTGGATAAGACATTAAAATGTGAGTACCTGTTTCTGGTACAACGACGCGTGTTTTTTGTCCAGTCTGATCTGACTCAACTATTTCTCTGTGCTGTTGAGTACGCATATACACTCGATGTATATAAAACAAGCCAATTCCAACAAGTGATACCAGAACGATACTATATAAATAATATTTCCATTCTTCACCTGAATAAAAAGTTTAAAAGAGAGAACTGGTTTAACGAACGAGTATCTGAAAACTATCATATGTAGATAATACTAGATTATCTTGTATAACGTTAAAGTTTACCCTGTAATGATATAAGATTTCTGATTGATAACGATCGGAAAAATGTCAGTGGTGAAGAGTACTGGTTTAGAATAGAAGATGAAAACATTTTAAGCTAATGATCTGAAATAAAAATAGTATCTACTTTATTATGCATGTGATAGTCTTTTTCACGTTATGGCTGAAAGCACATACAACACATAAACGTTAATTGCTATTTACCGATGACTTATGTAGAAGAGAACCATAAAAAACACTTGATATGTTGACAGCAAATAAGACGATAGTGCTTTCTCGAAATCTACTATTGATGCGTGCTTCTTAGGCTTTCTAAAGAACAGTAAAGAAAAAGTTAATATACTGCACGAATACAAGTATAAGGGCTGGAGAAGAGTAAATATTTCTTCACTAGTTATATACCGTAAAAATAAATTGAACAATTGTACGATACTAGAAGGTGTCTTAAGACTAGTACCATAGCCGCAAACATACGTTTTTCTAGGTGGAAGCTGTGCTATAAACAATTTGAGAGACGAGAAGCTGAGTACGTACGAGCATGCGTCATAACCGGTTTGACCATTATTCAAACGTTAGGACAAATCTGTATCAGTGAAAATAGTTTCGCTAACAATTCGAGAACAAGAAATCTCAATCTTTTGAATGCCTTTCTTTCGCTAGTATTTCGTCTGTTCTTAATAGTTTTAGTTAAAATGAGAATCGTTTTCTGAAAACAACTGATTACTATTGTTTTTTTTTTACCAGAAAGTGTACTACTAGGATCTGCACTATTGCAGCAATGCTCCATGCCATGAGTGAACAGGGTTTTCTGTTGAACAGTTCAAAAAAGTATAAATGTACTATGGTTAAGAAACGCTTTAGCAGCAAGAAAGCTGGTGTTTACTGTCGTCGTTTTCAGCTCGCTTGAGTTACACTAGCTACTTTCTTTTGATGGGTACTGTGAGGTAGACTAGACTAGGCATGCACGGGTTATAACCGATAAATTTCAACTTTTTCTGCAATGGATTCCATAAAAAGTACGCATACTAAAATTTTTCGAACAATTGGGCTTTGTAGAGCAAACATTTTTCTACAAGATAAAATATGGCAGAAGTCTTCATGTTTTCTATTTCTCTCGCAATCGCTTTTCCACGAAGAGCTCTAAATCAGTTATAACCGATCGTGAGACTTTTAAGAAATCTTTTTTTTTATCAGTACTGGATCAAGACGAAGGCTACTCTCATAGCTCATCTTGCGGAAAAGTGTTTGCTCTACAAAATCCAGTTGTTAGCAAAATTTTAGCGAATCAGTCTCAGTTGAGAAAAACTTTTTGCAAAGAAAGTGTACACCTTCAATTGATTATAATCGGTGCAAACCTAGACTCGAGTTTACCTTTATCGCAGTAGAGAATTAGTGACTTTCGAGTTCGACTTAAAGTTTCCATACTAGAAACATTAGGAGACTTATTGTAATATCCTTACTCTCTGTATAAATAGTTCGATTTCTGTTCATGACTATTCTCTATAATATCACAATGACGGTGATAGATGTATTACATGCTTGATCAGCTATGCATGAAAAAGATGTCCCTTAGCAATAGTATTGAGCTTTAAATGTGTATGATATATGTTTAACACGTGTAGCACGTTTTAGGTACGCCGTCAAATGTAAAACAAAGATATAATATATACAAAAGTTTGTATATATCATTGTAAGTGAATTTATACTGATTTAGAAGCTCACTATGATTAATTTTTAGCCCAAAAAATAAAATGCAAACCATTTACCTGTATCATATTCGTCTTTGTATCAACACCTGAATATTTCTCCAAATATGAGCTTTAATCTTAATATGTTTTATTAAAAGTATCTCTATCTATATATACAGAATTATATTGTCGGAGTTCTTGCATTGGACGGTTATCTAAAACAGACAGATCAAGACAAAATCGCTTTGTGTGTATATACGAACGCATCAATGTAGCGAGGAATCTGTGTACGATACTTCTTTGAAAGAGTAATGAAAAAAGTCGAGAGACAGTCAATTGTTAAAAACATGCTTGTTCGAACCACGCAAGAATGAGCTCATCTTGATGATTATCATCAGTTGGGCTTCACGAGTTTTTCAATATTTTCTGAAAGCTTGACGAAGCAAGAACTGCCCGATGTGAACATGTCTTCGCGAGAAACATTTTCTCCTGTTAGCGAAAGACGAGATGAAGACGCTGGAGGGAATTCTGTCCGGTTTACACTTGAAAAATATGTTGGTTTAGTAAGTTGCGTATTATATCTACTACACAGACACACAGCAATGTCCTCAAGTGAAGGTAAGAGGTTAATTTAAGAGCTTATTGTTTTATCTATTTTTATAATAAAGGTGATGTTTCCTCTTGTGAACCACAATGAAACACTGAATAGCTTATGTTAGCAGAGATTCGGACTCAGGAGAAGTGTCAGGGGAACATTTTATCAAGACCTGACGGTGGACGATACGGCGAAGGTAACAATTGCATCATAATCAAATAAAAATTGACAGTCGCCACTGAGCGAAGTTTCCAGTGTCCTAGAGAACCGAAATTATAGTCGATTGTAATGAATCAGTACAAAAATCTCATCTGTGTAAACAAAATAAAACACATTCGAATTCAAATACGGTAGAGCGACTGAACGATCGATCTGCTACAGATCAAAGGGGTGAACGACAGAGACGCATAAATTTTAAAATGCTCCCTTAGTTCTGTTAACTTTAGTGTAGGATCTTACAAAATGTTTGTCTGTCTGTACGCATAACACGGAAAAATGGTTGTCAGATAATCCATAGGTAAGCCAATCCCCTTGGGATCTTGAAAGGATGATCAGAAAACTTTTTAGCTTTATATTATATTCGGCGCTTTTCCCGTGGAATCACAGAAGTGTCCAACACTTCTCACCTATCCTGATGATGAACGCCGACCGAAGGGAAGCGTCAGCATTGTGTTTAATTAAGAAATAGTTTTAGATGTCTCGGGATCTTTGTGAGGTCTCGAGAAAACGTTTTCAGATTTATATTAAATTATGAAGCTTACCCATCAAGTTAGAAAAAAAATTCATAACATATTTTATATAGCCCCTAACGAACACCGACCGAAGGGAAGTGTGAGCGTTGTCTTCGATTCAAGTAATGGAAACTCGTTTGCAGATATAAGTTCCTAAAGTCAAGGGACAGGACGCATGCAGACAATCGTTACCTTGTTCCTTTGACTTTAGTCTTAGGCTACGTTCACACTACAAAAGTTAAATGAGTTAAAACGAAGCTGATTGGTCAGAAAGTTAATTCTGAGTTAAATGATGTCCAAAACATTATTTAATGTTAACTCTCCAGTCATAAATAAGCTCCGTAACCAACAATATGGCTCCATTCGACCACGGCGGTAGCCACAGTTCTATAAGGACACAGACATCTGATCTGACACTCTATTCAGTTTTACTATTTGAACTAAAAAGGCAACTGTAGAAAATACATTAAAATCCGGCGGCTGTTAGCAAAGCGCAACCTTTAAGAGTACTGAAGCCGAGAAACAGCACAATTTTAGGGAAAATGTTATTGGTGTATTAAAGATTTAGACGTGAAGTGAACTTTGAGTTGACTCTAAAACATTTGTAGTGTGAACACGTAGCCTTACAAAATGGTTGTCTGTCTGTTTGTCTGTACGCAAAGCACGGAAAAATGGCTGTCAGATATTTCATGGATAAACCAATCATAAGAGAGAAAAATAGACTATTTTTTAAACACGAGAGCGAAAATATTCAAAGAGATTAGTTAAAATATAGTGATAATGAAAAAAGAAAAGCTTAGGAAACGTTTTCTATAGTTCGGAGGAAGAGATGCCGCCAGAAATCACTCAGTTTTAATAACTCAAAGTCGTCGTCTACGGCTACTAATAACACATAACAGAATATAGATAGTGTATCATAGAGGATCAGTTAGAATTTCTAACCGATTCTCTATGATACACTATCTAACTTAGAAATACTTCCAGACTGCTTACCATTTTTATAGGGTGTCCAGAAAATGTTTTAGCTTTTATTTGGCGCTTTTCCGTGGAATCAGAGAAG